TGGAAGAATTGCCAACACATAATAAGATTCTAGGCCTGTTATTGCTGTTATTGGCCCATTGGCTCTTCCTGTGTATTCATTACCTCATTAATCGGTGATCCAGAGACGAATAATCTGCTGTTTCCAAAGTTTAGTCAACTTCAGTTGAAGATTGCCGAAAAAGCTTGGTTTTTTTTTTTCTCCGGACGGTGACATCTGTGCAGTTGCTTGTTTAATGACACCACCTGAATCTTGGTCTGACTGGTTCCCATTCGCGCCAAGACAAAAACATCGCGACAAAGTGTGCATGCTACAGGTACATGTACAAGACATGCAGGCAGCGCAGCAGTAAATGGTGCACGCTTTATGTACACAGTATGGCGGGACCGGTGGCCAGAAAGGCTGATTCAGGGCACCGAGCGGGCAGCACGTAATGGTGCAGATTGTCCTGGCCGTTGGATCTTGGCCATTTCTATTTGTTTTTCATTTCAAAACTTTGGCAGAGTGGTAAGAATTTTGGCAGGGGCGCCTGAAATTTTGGCAGGGGCGCCTGAAATTTTGGCGGGGTGGCCAGCCTTGCAAAATCCATTTGTGGAGAACACTGCCTAATATGGTACGCAAGTGCGCAGTTATTGGAGACTGACATAAATAATTTTAGTCTGAATATGCATAATCTCTACTGGATGTAGGGAAAATTTAGCTTTGTTATGCAGTGGAAATGCTATACCTTGCATGTTCTCAGTTAATCATTAGTGAAATCTCACCACGTGCATTTTAAAATGGGTACATTGTATGCACACACATGTACCGAGCATGGGTGCAGCATATGCCATCCATTTTTCATTGTGTTTGCTTTTTTATCACGTTTGCTATCAATGCCATGCCATATTAAAGCCGAACATCCGAAGAGACCAGTTTGGTTTGGGAGATACATGTATGTAATACAAAACTGCTTCAAACTGTTGGCTGACTACAGTGACCTGAAATAGTTTGGTTCGGTTCGAAAGTGCCATGTTTGATGATTTTTGGTTGGGTTCGGCGGTTCAGCTGCAGCACTATTGTCACGTACTCCTCATGTATATGCAATTTCAGTGGAAAAAAGGCTTGTATTAAAGTTGTAAATATAACAGGCAGACATTATTTTCAGCCAACCAGAACTTTCTGTTCCAGGAATGTGCATAGTTTTAGCCTTGTGGTGTCATTTTTGTCAGAGTCATTCTGTAACATATATGTACATGCATTTCCCTGTCCGTAAATTAATCTTGATGAAATTGTAGGTGTACACAAACCACAATTAACACAGCTGGAATGTGCTGTTGTCCCCTGTGTCTTCATGTGTATGCTTGGTTTGCCCTTAATTGACCGTACATTGATATGAGTCCGGCACAGTTTGCTTTGTGTGCTGTGCCCATTGAAGCATTAACTACATGTACATGTACATGTACATGTAGGGTACATGTCAGATCACGATGGAGCAAGATGGAGATGTTTGGTTCCTGTTATAAAGATACCGATACATGTACATGTCCATGTACATAATGCCATTTTCAGAAATTTCAATGGATTTTGCTGTTGTCAACCCCTCTGCCTAGATGGGTTGTGTAATTTTTCTTCATTCCCTAATATTACCCCTGGTGCTGGGACAAACATGGACATGAATTTTTTAACCCTAACCCCCTAGGCCCTTTTTGCTAGGGACCCTCCTCAATCCTCCAGAATCCTTCAATATGGGGGGTGAAAAAATTGGATTCTCCCTTAATCCTCCAAAATTTCTTGAAAAAGTTACTTGGAGGTGTGCCTACTGCCTCAATCCTTTCAAAATCCTCCGGTAATTCCTGTCATCTTGTTGAGGCAGTGCAAATGGCATTCTTGAGCAGTGCCGTTGATTGAAAAGAAATATCAGGTTGAATTTATGCAAGACTGAGCAAGAACAACACTAGGTCTAACCCTCGACCTTCACTCCTTCTTCAGTCCGTCCTTCATTCATTGCATCCTTCGCAATCAGCCATGCACTTTTGTCATTCACCCTCAATCCTCCAAAACCACCCGAAGGATTTTGGTGGATTGAGGAAGGTTAGGGTTAATATGTTCTTGGGTTTATCTTATTATTTTTGTGGCATAAATTGAGGCGCTTGTTGGTGTCTAAGGTTAACAGTCGTAAACATTTTTCGAATTAGATTGAATCGATTACATCAGCATTGGATAGAGTATGTACATGTAACATTACCATGTTTGGGTGTTTACTCATTTCGTAGTTTGCTAAAACTCATCCTCTCAAAACTCAAGATGCAGAAAGTGCATGACATTGATACATTGAGTTCTTGCCGAGTGGGCATTGCCCCTCACCCCTTCTTTCCGCACTTTGCCCTAACCAATGAAAACGCAACTTTTTAGCTGAGTGCAGGCTGTAAAAGCAGTAGCTCTATGGTAAAAGTAACCACCCTTCCCCAAACATAAAAACCTGGGTACTTTCCGTCAGCATTCCTCTAACCCCAGTACATGTTTTGACACATGGGAAGGGGTTAAGTTTGATGTATTAATCAGTAGTCCCTTAAAAAATTACGTACTAGATTGGTTGGGGCTGCTGTACACCTGTTATACTCTTTATCGTGTATGCCCTGAATGGAATGTTTTGGGGGAAAGTAGAAATCTGAGACCAATAGAATGTCTGTGTGCAGTTTGTGGGATGAAAAGTGAACTGAAGATGCATGCATGTATGACCCGCTCTGCAGAAAAGGGTTTTCAGTCGCACAATGCCAAAACACGTAATGGCCTAATTTATTTGGAGAGGGCAACATTTCTTCAAAAATGTGATTTTTGTGTTTTTTCCTTTAATACTTTCTATAATATTTATATTTCCAGAATTTGTGACTGCAAACATGGATACTGATGAATAAAGATGAAAAACGGATCATTCAGTAGGAAATCCTACATAGCATTGTGTTTCCAAGTGCTACACTTTATGAGCTTTTTCTTGAAAGGGTTTTAGTGAATCCGAAAATGTGGATATACAAATGTCTATATATCTTCGGTACGCAGGGCACTACAGGGGTCATTCGTGTATCAAATTGTAGCTTTTGATGTACAGAATCCGGCCATATCAGAAATTCAGAGCCTGAATCTGGTGACGTATTACCCATATCACATTATGTACAGTTACCGGTACCTGCAGTGGCTCTTCCCACCCTGATGGTATATATGCAGAATATTCAGAGGGTGTAACTTTTAGTGCATGTTTATTTTTGCTCATGCTCTGGTGCATGTACATGTACAGTGCATGCCAAATTGCCATCAGTTGATAGGAAATCGCTGCAAAAATTTCAACAATGACATATGAAAAATTGAATTTCTGCACATGTATCCTAGGATGCCTCCATGTACATGTACAGATGTACCCCCGGTGTGCTGAGCTGTAAAATAGAACAGGGGCTGTGCATGGCACCTGTCTTTCTGGTAACTGCTTTTGTTGCGGAAAGATAGCACGAAAGAGTTCACCTGTGTATGGCCAAATCTGACGAGACGTCATTCCAAGGGGCCATTTGCACTCCTGCAGCTGTCTCGACCTGAGCGCGGACACACTGCGGCAGTTGACTACTGTCTGTTGATCAAGGAGGCATTTCATGCGTGCGCACCGCCTGCGTGGCTTCTAATCTTGGTCATCATATTTGTCCATACCTGTAGAACAAAACCTCTTACCAGAAAAAGGACTGCCGTGCACAACGTATTTAGGATACATATGGTGTTATCCTAGCTTGCGTATTAACGGTACTTGTAGATGTAGCTAAACTTTGCATCTTAACGGTATGTAAATGAGACTATTTGCATTAAATAAAGCAGCGACGCATGTATTAATTGCAGCGTACATGTGCATGAAGTTGGGAGTCTTGTGAAATTTGTGCATATGCATACATAATGGTTGCATCCTTTCTAAGCACATGCAAGTTGAGTTGAAAAAAGGTTTATTGTCTCAGTATGCTTCCTTTTCCCAGACCAGATTTAAAATTTTTGTTTCAATTTTGTTTTCATGTTAATGGTAAATATCCAGTATATTTTGACTTTTACTCGTTAGTAGCTTTAAATGCAAATTACAAGTCTTCTGAGTGGGGTGATAGTGCCTTATTGTACTCAACAAAAGAGTCCAGACATTCCAACTGCCACCTGGAAAAATCTACTTTGGTAAAAAAAAGACCAAAAAAGTGTACATAAATTTTTTCTATTCACTGGACCTACATGTAAATGACATTCAGTTATCAGTAGTATTGTGCATTGTGGAACGAACATCAAAATTGGAATACACAAGTGTTTTTAATCATTTCAGCAACAACTTCCCAAAACACAAGTGTGATATGTGTACCTATGCATTATGTTCATGATTTCACGCAACCTCAAAGCCCTGGGGAAAAACCGGACTAGAAATATGTGCATTAGCATAAAGAGGTCAAAGGTCCTGATCCCTGCCCAGTCAGGCAGTCCAGCCCAGCCCGGCCTGGAGCTAGCTGTGTGCTGGCTACATGTATGTACATGTACTGTACATGTACATGGACATGTACATGTACTTGTACACTGTATGCTACTATGCACCACCCACTATCTGCTTAGCATTGGTAAACAAGATAATGAGATGCATAGTGCCATGGCCGGCCTGAGCTGGCTGGTATGCACATACATATGCATATTATGCATGTACATGTACATACTGTACACTGTGCATGTACATTGACCAGCATTTAGCTGTGTCTGCGCTGCTCGAGCAGACATGCTGTAGATCACAGTTCCCTAGCTAAAGAGCAAAATACCAAGTATCTGCAGAAGTGAAGGTAAGTCATGATTATTTTCTTGATTAGGTCATTTCTCATACATGGATTACACTTCTCTGTGGATAGTATATCAATTCTTGGTCTGGTTTCTTGAATAGTTTTGAGAGAGGTGCATGAAGGCAGTGGGCATGGTACACACACGTACACACAGACACCGCCATTGAGACCGAACACAATCTGACATGACCGCCCAGGCTCAGTACACAATACACTGACGCTGTGTGCATTCTGATTGGTTGAGCACACAGCACTAGGGGCCCTTCATTGCTAGTTTGCTTGTGTGTCTGTGTTGCCAACGGTCTTGTCATGCAGGCATATGTGTACATGTACAGTACAGTACTGTGCATCCATGCACCGCATGTTCATGCACATTTTACATCTACATGGTCTCTGTACAGTGCAAGTACATGTCATACTCATAGACAGGAGTCACAGGGTGGCCAGACGGCATTAGAAGTTGGTCATGGTAATGTCCGATGTGTAGGGCACTGTTTCCTGCCAGAAACTGTCCTACCCTTCACATTTCTACATACATCTCTGCTAACAGGAATTCTTAGATCTCTCCTGTCGATTATGCCAGGGAAAGTACATTGTAAGGTGGGTGAGATCACAATATTGGAGCAGATTCTGAACCCTAAGCACGTATGCAGACCGCGCATAATTTGACATGTACTGACCAGAGTTAATAACCTAGTCTTTTCCTGGACAGTTTTCAGTTTTCATGGGATGTACCTGTAATATTGTAGTGGGAGACTGTTCGTGTTTGTTTAAACCAACTCTGTTTTGTTATGTGGAGATTCAAAACACAAGTAGTATGAAATGAATAAGTTCCTGAAAAAAATTTATTCCTGAAGCATTTTTTTTGTTTTGGCTGCATTGTTTGGTACATTTCAAATTGCAGTAATTTATAATCCCAGCTTTTTGATTTGTGTCCATTTCAATCTATTTACAGAGGTCAACCTTATTTCTTTGAATACTCAAGTACGAGTTACTACATGTAGTATTATATTTTCAATAGTTAAATGAAGTTAGTGAATGTCTGTTTGTTGGGATTTAGCATAAAAAAGGGTTTTTATTGTTGATTGCATTTTAGTGGTGTTGGACAGCTAGCATGGAGGTTATTCGGTTAGAAAGGGACCTTTCATTCCTTTGTATTTGGCAGGATTGCATTTGACGCATTTATATTTAAGTTACATTGAATGTACAGAGTGCTGTACGTGCATACATGAGATTCATATTCCTGAGGTTTGCGACGATTTCCTGTGTTCATACATGCAATCATTTCTAAATATAATTGCTGGGAGCAAAAGCAGATGCTTCAGTCATTTTGTTAGTTCTCTTTTCCTTCTTTTCAACAGTCTTTCAGTTACTTTGTGCAGTGTGTAAATTCATTGTCTGATTTGATGTTTGAAGTGACATTATCAAGAGTCTCTGCTCTGATCAATATCCAGTACACCATATTTGATGCCAAACACTTCACAGATTCACTGTATCATTTCAGGCAGTAAAAAGCCCACGTAACCAACCAGTGTTGTTCCCTTTTTGTGAATACTGTACTTTGTATGGAGTTATGTTGACACAGCGCAACTATTTTTGATGCAGTTGACTGGTGCTTTTTCAAGGGAAATTCAAAGTGCTATTGTGGAGGCGGGTGTTGATTGTTTACCAGTGGAGCTCCAGTGGGGGCTGTACCCAGCCAAGGAGGAAACTGGACAGGAAATAGAAGGCAGTAAAGGAAAAAACTCAAAAACTGGTTGAAGTAAATCCTCAGGCAGGAATTTTTCCAGGGAACTTCTCGGTTCTTTAGAGTTATTTACTGTTGCTCCAAAAAAAAATCATTATGACTTAACTAAGTGATGGGTGTGCAAACTGCACATTGGCTACGGAGCCAAACCATTCAGTTGGTTTCAGAAAGGGACAGGTTTCCCTTTTCTTTTCCGTAACAAGACTATGATGGAGTTAACGTGAATCAAAAGGGAAGACAGGCAACGGTGTACAATATAGGCGATACATGTGTACACGTACGTGTAGCCATGTTTGTTACATATCAGCAGGTTCTTTCCTCAAGGCTTTGATATGCAATGATTACAGTCCAGGCCTCCAAGCTCATGAAGTATTCATGCACAGATGATATAGATGCTGCAGAATCTTTCCTTTGAAGAAGACAAGGAGAAAACGTGCCTGGTGCTTTCCCTCCCCGCTCCCCGGGTTCCATGTATAGTGCATGGTCATTTGGGTACCAGTTTTCAACAGTAGCTGAGAGTAACAAGTGTGAGGATATTATTTTACGAACTGAGATTCATATCGTGGAATTTTTGGGGAAAAATTTGATCATTTTCTTTCGACAGAATGGAAGGTTCCCCTTTACTGAAGGAAAACATTTACAGTATGTACGTATGTACATTCATCAGCGCTTCAAGGAGCAGCGAGTGTCAACCAATCAGAGAATTTAAGCTGTTGCCTTCGGCCCTCAGATCCAGTGGATGAAGAAAAGAGGGGGGGTGCATTGCGAGCCAGGGACGTTTTAATCTGGGAATTATGGATGCGGCTGTGGACAGATTAAGAAAACTGGGCCATTGCTCTTGGGAATTCGGTCTCTGTTTGCCTTCTTCCCCATCCCTTTTTATTACGCTTTAGTGTTGGAAGGCGCAGGCTTTCATAAAAACAAAAAACTTGAGAGCGTGAAACTAGTGCAAATATTATTTTGAAGTTCACTGCTCAAAGAATTGACAGAGGCTTTTTTTTTTTGGAGGACTGGGTGTAATAGCATTAAAGCTCAGTCTTTGTTAAACAAATATTTAGGACAATTAAACATGCCGGTAGCATTACGTGGTTTCCATATGTGCAGAGTCTCTGTAATTGTACATGTCAATTTATGTTAGGGATTTTTCTGCTTCAGCAGGAACCAGATGGATTACGCATAAGGGACCTGTTTCCTCTACATACTGTTAAGTACTGGCCAGGAAGGCAGCTTTCATGTATGTACGGAAAGAAGTACGGAAAGAAGCAAAAACAGTATTTGAAAAGAATGAGTCCCATCAAGTTTGTTGTTCCTGCACTCAGTTTGCACTCAGTGGGTTTTGGTGGGTTCTCAGGAAATTCTGCCCCCAAAATGGAAGCTCTAGTTAGATTATCCCCCGGTATGTGCAAGCATGCAGGTGGACGGTACATGTACATGTGCGTGTTCATATTTCGTTACTTACCACACAGTATTACTACACAATGTTGATAAAATCAGTTGTTTTGGAGGGGCGGTTACTATAAATGGAATTTACAGCTCAGGAAAGAAATCGTTCATTTTAAAAAGGGAAAAACAGCCTCCCCTGCAGCCGAACGCTTCACAAATGCACTTGAAAAGAAAAAAAAGGAAGCTATCTAATGCTTGGAGAATATACATGTACATGTATGTGCATAAATGTATGTTCGCATTCACACAATTGATGTCTCCGTGTTCAATGTCCCCTGCACTATGGATCGGTACTACTGTCTGAAGAGTGCTTACACTGCGGTAAATATTGATCTGTGGTATTGATCCTGGTTTGTAAATTGAGTTAGGAGAGTTTGTGATGCAGCGGGGCAGTACAGATCACCCTGCTGGGGCCCCCCTCCCACCACCATCACCATGTTGCTGTGATAAAACAGCACGAGGAACAAGCCCAGAAACATATGCTGGCAAGCGCTGCGTAGACTCTGCATTTTCAAAATGGCTTTGTTGAGAGAAAAAAATTCTTGGCTGGCATTATCATGTGCTATGATAGTGTGTTCTAGTTGTGTGTATTCAGTAAACTAGCAAATACAATGAATTGGAAAGAAAAAATACTTTCAGACAACTTTCCTTCTAAAAGTTCAGTCCAGAAAAGAAAATAATACTGTTTGGTCTGCTTCCAGTTAACCAACTACCGGTAGTCTGAGCCTTGCAGGCTGAAACTTACCTAACAACCGGAGTATTCTAATATGCGATCAAATTTCACGTCAGATGTTCCAGTAATCAGTTATTGGATCTGACTCGGCCCTACCATCCGACCATGCACATTCATTCTCTGTATTGGTTAGAAACATACAGTGTTGCCATGTCTTTAAGAATTCCGATTGCAGTTAGATGTACCTGACTGGCATGAAAACGATTATTTCAGCGTGCCTCCTGCCCGTCGGTGTTATTGAGGGGGATAGTCATGATGCTGCTGTGCGCCACTGAATGGAAAGGGGGAGGGGAGGAATGGAATGGAAGTTTTTTCACCTTGGCCATGCTAAATTGCCATCCCCACTGAAGGGGGATGGATGTGAAGACGCCCAGGGGCAACCTAGATGAGCAGGTCCAACAATGAAAACATCGCTGCATCAATGCTTTATCCCCTGAATTAGTAACAGCAGGGCAGCAGTGTGGCCGTTGTGTTTGTTTGCTTCCTTTTTTTTTTTCTTTTTTTTTTTCCATTTGTTGCCCTCCTTTGCTGACTTTTGCCACCGCGCCAGAAAGAGGAATTGGTCACGGGGCTTTGGGGCTATTAGTGGAGATATTCTCAGTCCTGACCCCTTTTCCACACTTTGCCGGGAGCAGCAGAAAGGATATGGAGTGACCCTGTTCGTTTTTGCAGTATCATCTGTGTACGATGTACCCTTGAGGGAGCTGAGACGAAGAGTTTTTTGGAGTACATGTGTAAATGTCTGGAAGGGTGCAGTTACAGTATATGTGAATAGCCCGTATAGGGGGTGTGTAAATCGCTGCTTTTAATATTATGCTATATTGTAATGCTAATCTGTAAATAAATTATGTAAATCCGTTATGGAGCAGAGCATAAGCAAAGATCCTTTCGTCTGTACCCGCCCCCAGCTGAATTGCACCCCCAATTGGCAAAAGAAAGACATGTGGTTACAAGCGGGTTCTTGCACGCGTTCTGCGTGTACGCAAAGACCACACATGCCATAATAAATTATTTACGCGTACTCGCCATGCTCTGTGTCAAATGCGCATATGCTTGCATGCCTCATGGCATGCCTGTGCGGCGAGTACCAAAAAAACACGCCCTCTTTTGTTCCGCTCGGAGGGGATAGTACATACTACTATTTTTTGCCACCCGTTTTCAATGCAGTCGAAAAAGCTTGACATCGTGGCTGTTCTACAGATAACTGATAATCCTTCAAATGTTCCCTGACTTTTGCAAAATGTGGAGTGGGTGATTTGCTCTCTGAATCTTTTAGGAATCTGAATGTACATGTTAATGTCACAGCCTATTGTCTAATTCGTAGAGCCAATGATTTTCCGTTTTCAAAAATGGGTATTTTCCGTTTTGCCGAATCCCAAATTCCACTTCAGAAATTCAAATTCCATTCCATGCCTTAGTAAGCATGAAATAGAAGAGCAAGTTGTAAACTATGCGTGGAAACCATTTACCCAACCATACTCCCCCCCCAAAAAAAGAAAGGAAAATTAAAGAAACAAATATTGTTTGGAAATACTCTGCAATGTTGCCAACTTTTTTATGATTTTCTGTAGTGGAAATTTCAGCACTTTGCTGAAAGTTTTCTTTACTTTTTAAGCCGTTCTTAGTGGGAAATTTTGCAAGTTCCGTTTCAAGCAGTGGATTCCGTTTTCAAGTGTT